CATATATATATATATATACATATATATATATATATACATACATACATGGATAAGGTGGCATATGTGTGTGTGCCTGTGTGTGTGGGAAAATTGAAGCTTATCATGCATGCAACTCTTCTTCCTTTCTTTATTTTTTTCTGAGTGAGTCATCAAGAATATTATTATGGTTCATCCAGCTTAATTATAAGTATTACAAATTTAGGTTAGATATCTAAAGGATTGCTCTGATTGATTTTTCGTTTAAATGAAACTCAAATCAAATTAAACAAGCTAGTTAATAAGCCAAGCCCAGCTCTGATGGAACTATAATCAAGTTAAGGTTGTACTAGAATGAGCTAGACTAAGATTAGATTAAAATTTATAAGCAAATATATAGTGCATATTCCCATAAAAAGTTCTATTTTCCCATGAATTTGTCAGTCAAAGTTGTCAAAGGTTGCTCTTCCAATTACAAAAAAATAAAAAAACTTGTCAGATGCACCCATCAAAATATACCAAAGCTAATTGTTACCTGAAACTGAAGTTGTTGGGGATTTAGTTAGAAAACTTAATGTACTTAAAGATGCATCTCTTCCCCTAATTGGAGTCCATGACTTTTTCATATATTTTGATAGCTATGGGCTCTATAAATCTATTAATTTCACAGCAAGCATTCCTTTACTCATGCTTTATAATTTAAATTGTGTGAGGTTTTTGAGAAAATAAGTATAATTCACATTTTTTATTACATTAATTTATACTTTTTGACAATAGCATAGCAAAATTTCCAAGCCTCTTTCTCTAAGCTCCCTTCTTCCTCTCTTCCTTTTTTGGTTTTCATTGGCTTGGTCCATATTTGGAACTAAAATTTATGGTGATATATGTCAGAATTACTGTAGAATGAAGGAAAAAATACAAATTTCTGACAGGCTTATCTTTTTCTTTCATAAACCATTATAGAGAATTCCACTGCTGAATAACATGAACAAGTATAGTTTGATTTTAAAATAATATAAATTTTGCATAATTACCTTATCAAGACAAGGCCCAGCATCCCTAAAATCAATAACAATGAGAACAAGCGCAGCAGTAATTGCAGTCCAAGACATGTTTAGCCCTACCAACAGAGCAGCCAACATTCCAACAGTAACCAAATACACACACCCTTTCAAGCACAAAGCCTTCCTGCTAATGCTCTTCTTCTCCACCTCAGCCCCAATCATCAAGCTCGTCTCTCTCCCACCACTCATCTGAACGCTGTTCTTCTCCTCTTCATCTCCCCCAACCTCCACTTGTGAATTCTGATTCGAAAGGTGTGACATTCTTGCAGGAGAAAACTTATGAAACAGGACCTCACCATCCACCACAGTTTCTTCAACCACCTCCTCTTCGTCCTTCACAGGGGACAAGGATTTCCAATACATACACAATAGAATTATGGTGTTTATCACTATCCCAGCAACCATTGCAGGAAGGATTCCTACTAGGAATTTTCCAAATGAGATCTTACTCTGTACTGCAATAACTAGATTCTGAGGGTTACCAATGGGAGTTGTGGTGGAACCAATATTGGCACTTGAGGCAAGTGCAAGCAAAAATGGTTTTGGTGGGAGCTTGTTTTGCTTTGCGAGTTTAAGAACGAATTCTGTTAAAACAATGCAGGTGGTGTCATTTGTGAACAGAGCGCTTGAAAAAGCTGAAATGATGCAGATTCTGCAGAGCAGGTCTCTGCCACCCTTGGATTTCCATGAAAGAAGCTGACTCAAGTATTTGAACATGTGGGCTTTTTCAAGGTAGATGCTGACAACCATGGTGCCGAAGAGGAGGCTGAGGATGGGCATGTCGATGGATGAGTAGGCTTGTTCAGGAGTTATGACACGGAAGATGACCATGAGAAGGGCGCCAAGGAGGGAGCCTGCTGTTCTTCCGATGGGAAGGAAAGGGACTGCTGGGAAGACTGCAAGTATCCAGAATATGCCAAAGGAAATGGAACCTAGCACTACCTCAGCTGTAGCAGCAAGGGCCATTTCGTGCTGAAGAGTAACCCAAGTAAATTGCAGTTCAAGGTTGAGATAAATGACATAAAAAAAAAAAGTTTACAGTTTGAGATTATAGAAAGTAATCAGTGAGTTGGATGAAGATTGTTTGGAGATTGAAGGTACCCAGCTGTTGCAAGAATAGGGAAGTTATTATAATGGAAATGAGTACGTACTTGGATCTATCTGTGGGCAGATATATTATCTAAAGCATGATTTCTTGCCAAGGAGAGGCTAGCTTCACGGAAGAGTGGGGTGGTGTTTTAGAAGTACCATGTTTTGGTTGTTTATTGAGATTTACTGGCTTCCTTTATGCGCTTATATAGAATTTTGAGCTTTATTAATGGGGAGAGTTGAGTGCTGTTTATGGTATTTTTTTGCTGAATTTGGAAGATTTGATTGAAGCCTTAGTGATAATTTTTGCTGGTTGGGTACAGATGATGGATGAGATTTGAGCACGCCACTGTATAATTAACTGCTATATTTATTACCTGAATTTTATGGGTCCCATTTTATCTCATAAGAAAGTTATGACCACAAGGATTGTGGCTTCAAAATGAAACTTCGAGCACTCGAATTAAATGTTTTGATTGTTATATCAAGCTGTTAATAGTCATTGGATTGCAATTTGTGTGTCACTGTATTATTGGCTCTCTTTTAATTTTTCCTTATAAACGAATATTGCTAAAATTATAAATAACCCTCTTTTGTTTTGTGCAAGACACACTCCACTTGTAATCTCTTTTTTGATATAGTGAATTCTCCTCATTTGCTCGTGATTTTTTCTATCTTGGATTTCCACTTAAAATATGTATGTTCTTTGATTTTTGTTTATTTCATTATTTGTTGTATCGATTTAATATTAAATTACAACAAGTGGTATTCGAGTCATACTTGATTTCGATGAAGAACATAGTAAAGTATAACATTCCTCATTTAGATTGCAACAACAAATTTTCTCTTTGGTAGGTTAAGATGAGAGGAGTCTTAGCACAGATAGATCTTAACGATGTGCCACGTGGGTTTGAAAGGAAGCCCTCATCATGAATTTTGGAGGAGAAGCAACGTAAAGATTGAAAGGTTCTTTCTCAAATTCATTTTCATCTATCAAATCAAATTCTACTTGATGTTTGAAAAAAAAACCGTCACCATGTTATGACTCAAATTAAAGCAATTGCGCTTACAAAAAAGTATGACCAGTAAGTTGCACTTAAAGCAGTGTTTACACTCTCATAGAATGATAGAAGATGCATCTATTAATTGTCTTTAAGGAAATTGTCTCTGATTTGAAAGTCATAGAAGTTAAGTATGACGAAGAAGAGTTGACATTAATCTTATTGTGCTCACTGTCTTCATCATATATAACATTTAAAGATAAAATCTTCTGTGGGTGAGAGACATTAACTCTAGATGAAGTATATGATGCTTTACTTTCTAAGAAGAATATAAATCAACTTTTGGATGAACTTGTTGCTCAAGGAGAAGACCTTATCGTTCAAGATAGAACTGAAAATAGGAGTTTTGGTGCTCATACAAAGAGTATATCAAAATCTAGAAATAATGAGTAGATATGCAATTACTGTAAGAAAAGTGAACACATCAAATCTGAATGTTACACATTATAGAATAAAAATAGAAAGACAACTTCAAATCAAAAGGGCAAACAATCAGATCATTCTGGTGAAGCCAGTGTTGTTGAAGAAGCTATTAATGTTGGTGAAATCCTAGTTGTCTCCAAAGGAGAATCTTGTAATGACTGGGTTCTTGATTCAGCTTGCACATTTCATATGTGTCCTATTAGGGATTGTTTTTCAACATATGAATAGTGTCAAAGGTTATCATGTTAATGGCTAATAATGATCCTTATATGATAATCAATGTCGTAACTATTAGAATCAAAATGTTTGACGGAGACATTAGAACACTTGGAGATGTGAGACATGTCCTAGATCTAAAAAGGAATCTAATTTCCTTAATTCATCTTGATGTTAATTGGTATAAGTACTTTGGTGATGGTGGAGTTTTGAAGGTAGGCAAAAGATCTCTTATTATGATGAAAGGACAGAAGAAGGTTGTAGGGTTATATGTCATGCAAGTCCTTATTGTGGTAGGTGATGTAGCAGTTACTACGTCTTTCATATTAGAAGATGAAGCAACTAGACTTTGGTATATGCGCATTGAACATATGAGTGAGAATGGGATGACTTTACTGAGCAAAAAAAGACTTCTAAATGGTCAAAACATTACAAAATTGAAGGTGTGTGAACATTGTGTGTTTGAGAAACAAAAATGAGTTAAGCTTAATTATAAGAGACTTCACAGTCCGACACACACCTCAGCAAAATGGTGTAGCAGAGTGAATGAATAAAACTATAATGGAGAAGTTTCATTGCTTACTCTCTATTGCCAAGCTACCTAAACCATTTTGGGTTGAAGTTGCTTCTACAGCTTGCTAATTGGTGAATTTTCTCCTTCCATTGCTATTGACAAGAAAAAATTATAGGATATTTGATCAATTAATCCTAAAGATTACTCTAATTAAGGAAGTTTTCATCGTTCTGCATATGTTCATTTTAATAATGATTAGAGCCTGGATTTATGAAGTGTGTATTTCTTGGTTATTAAAGTAGAGTAAAAGGTTATAAGTTATGGCGTTGAAAAATCATGAAAGTGATCATTAATAGAAATGTTATATTTGATGAGTCTATGATGTTACATAAAATATCTATTATAGAATCTAAAAATGATGATCATAAGGAAATGTCTAGCATAGAAGTGGAACTTCATATTGAAACAACTACATCCTTGGGCATAACTTATGAGTCAAATTTAGAAAATCATGATGACTTTGTTTTCCCACTATGTTTGTTGGTTGAAGAAATCTTTGTACGATTTGAAACAGATTCCTAGGAAATGGTATAAGAAGTTTGACTCTTTCATGATTACTAAAAATTTTAAGAGAAGTTGTTTTGATAGTTGTGTTTACTTTAAGAAAAATACTAATGGGTTATTTATCTACTTGCTCTTATATATTGATAATATGTTGATAGCTGATAAGGATAAAGAATGTATCAAGACATTAAAAACTCGACTTAACAGTGAGTTTGAAATGAAAGATTTGAGAGCTACAAAAAAAATACTTGGCATGGAGGTTCAAAGTGATAGAAATGAAGGTAAATTATTTCTAAGTCAAAACTAGTACATTGAAATAGTATTAAATAGATTTAATATGCAAAATGCCAAGCATGTTATTACTCTATTAGCTGCGCATTTCAGACTTTCATCAGCTTTGTGTTTACAATCTGAGAATGAGATTAAATATATGTCTCAAGTTTTATATTCCATTGTAGTGTGATCTCTCATGTATACTATGATATGTTCTCATCCAAATTTATCATATGCAGTCAGTGTAATTAGTAGATATATTAACAATTTGGTTACGGAATATTGAAAAGTAGTTCACCGGATCCTCAGGTATCTATGGGGAACAAAAGATGTTTGTTTGTAGTCCGGGTCACTTACATGATTGGAGATCTTGATAGAAGGAGATCACTTACATGATACATGTTTATTATTGGTGGATGTGTGATTAACTTGAAGGCTACTTTACAAACAATAGTGACACTATCTACTACTGAAGTTGAGTACGATTATTGAAGCTTACATGTGATTCTTCTATGGAAGGGGCTTCTTGTGATTCTTTATTTTATGTGTAAAAGTGTGTAAACATGAGTGTGTGGCACCTTGTTGATTTTTG